ATACTATAACTATAATATTGGTGAAAAAAATAATATAAATGAAGTGGCCTCTAAATTTTGATGATTAATTCTCTTGTCCAATTAATTAGCACATGCGAAACAGAGCTGTTAAGTGTTGATCTCGCGCTGAGAGGGAGAGTAGAAGAAATGCAACCAAGCATAAATCACGTTAGAAATATCATTAATAATGTCTACCAAGTAGCAACATGGCACGTGTTTCATTTCCATTTTTTTGTTTTTGACGTAAAGCATGCTCCAAATACATATAGACTACATCCGGACGGATCAAATAAAAGCCAAACTAATAAGAGGATGCGAAAAAATTAGGATCTGAAAAATGTTAAGATATTTAATCGTAAGTTATCAAATAAGTAAATTACAATGTAAATTCTATTATAACTTCAGTAAATATAGTTAAAATTGAACGTTTTTTACATTTTTAATTCAAAAGCATCTTAACTTTTACTTTCCACAACTAATAATACCCACAATATAATTCAATGTTGTATTTTATGGGGGCCTCAACCTTTTTCACTGCACTAGATGCGGCGAATTCAATAATATTTAATTGTTCTACCAAAATTTAGTGGATAATTAATCACGTAAAATATATTTATTTATTTATGTGGCAAGTGCTTCATCCATGTGCGAGCCAACATAATTTTGTTTAATTTGTTTTGAGTGCAAAACTTATCCATCAACATTCAGAATAAACAGATGCATAGTACCTTCACTAGTTATTCATATTATAACACGAAGCTAAGAAAGAAGATATATTCCGCCTAACAATCTTTGCAGGAAGCTTAATTTTAAGGGGAAAAAAAATCGAAACTAATTGGTTGAGAACGTTAATAACAAGTCTTTAGATAATCGCATTACATTAAATGAGTAAACGATATTAACTTGTATTTAGTTGGTTGATTAAAAATAATAATAAATTAAAAACTACTGCTGGATCACAAGTATTTGGTCTTGACAGACATTATCATCAAATCATTTTGGAAAACCATTACCCTACTTTTAGCCACAGTTTCATCTTCAATTTCATGTGATTATCTGTTTAAATTTTCTGACCAGAAAACAAGATAAAGCTGAAAAGATTCTCCAGAACCTTAAAATGCAGAATATGCAGACTTAGAGTATTGATCGGTGGCAGAGATCAGGAAAATATGCATGCATGTTTGTCTCTGAGATTACTTGTGAACTTTGATGATGATCACGACATGTCAGAACATGATCTTGTTGCAGATATATAGTTTCTCAAGAAGACAACCCAACCAATCTTAAGGAATTAAAAAGAAAAAAAAAAACACCAACAACAACAACTTTGATTCATGAATGTCAGAAGAAAAAGCGCACGATAATCGCAACATTAGGATCTCATGAAATGTCCATCGACATGGTACAGTCTCGAAGAAACTAAAAATTTTCCACGTATATAGTTTTTTCGCTTTTGGTTTCCTATTGGGGAACCATGGCTCACAACCAAGAAAACGGCTGATAAAAGTTTTATAAATGTGGAAATGCCAATGTTGATTGAGCTGGCATGGAAGGCTATGCATTGAATTTGGAAAGCGGAGGGAAGGAATAATCCAGGGTGTTTTGATGAGATGGAGGTGCGATGGCAGGTGGAGGAGTAGAATCATGTGGGTGGTGCATGTGCATTGAGGTGTAGAACATGATGAAAGTAAGATACAACCCGCCTAAGGGACACTTGGCTCTCTTTTATTCCATTGATCCCATTCCCTTGGAGGGCTAGGTTACGCTTAAAATAATTAGACTTATCCTTATTGGCTCACCAAATACCAACCTAGTGCCCTAAATGCCATATAAAAAGACCTTCTTCCTCTCCATAGGATAGCTTGAAGTGATCAATCTCTTCATTCAAAAAAAAAAAAAAATTTTCTAAGTCATGGGAATTGCTCCACATCCTCTCCTTGTGTCCCTTAGTTTGAAGGGCAGGGTGCTACAAGACGAGGAGGTGCTGAAAGCCAGAAGAAAACTGAAAGTCATGAAGAGAAAGGTGGTCAAGTGCAGGAGGTCCAGGAGGGTTTTGAAGAAGAGGAGGGCGTGTGTAGAAGGTGCTAGAAGGCCGACCAGCACCATTGAAAGAAAGATCAGAACTCTTAAGAAGTTGATTCCAAGCAGTGAAGGGATGGAATTGGACGGATTATTCAGAGAGGCAGCGGAATATATTCAGTCACTGGAAATGAGAGTCAAAGTGATGCAAATCATGGTAAAGGTATTGACAGGTTCTAATGATGAGTAATTAGAAATTTTGTAAATTGTAAGGTTCATAACATTCTTTTTTATTTATTTTTCTCAATTGGTTTTTCTTCTGGTTTTCCTATAGTCATTTATAGGATCGAGCTTGTATTAATTATGTGTCCAAATATATATGAATTCATGTTCTGATTTGACCATGCCTACCTTGGTCATCTGTTTCTGTGCAAAATGACCTTGAGAGAGGACAATTAAATTTAGGAAAATGATGTGTACACACCAGATTTAACACCCGGATGTGTATACATCATATAGAAAAAAAAAAAAAAAGCCCATTACCTGGTCTAATTTTTTTTTTTTTTATGTGAGGAGTGCACACCCGAATGTTGAATCCGGGTGTGCACACATCATTTTCCTTTTTTTTATCATACCCTCAATTACTAGATATGATAATAATACTATATTTTATTATCATAATTGAGGGTATTATCAATTATTATATTTTATCATAC